CAAACTCAACTTTTTAAAACACCCTGCATACGTATACTCCTTTTATCAACACTCGCTCTGTATGCTCGTGCCCATTGACTATAAACAAATACCATCGTGGGTGTTGGAATCTTGTAAAAACTTAAATCTTATCAAATGGCAAAGCAATTATGTAGGAGAAGTGCTTCTGAATTCTAAAGGTAGATAATTTCCACGGAAAAATGCGAATGCCGTGCTGGCATCGATCGAAATGAGTTTATCCGAAGTCGAATATCTACAAACAAGTGGTTAACATACTTCCGGATCGGGTTGTTCAATTTGAATGAAACGAGTCCCCCGTACGTTGTTATAACGGTTCTGGTGAAGATTCAATCTCTTTTCGCAATACTTGATCGAAGGTTTCGATCAAAACTTTTATTATTGCAATCAGGAATAAATCGTTTCCTTTTGGACCACTATACATCTTGCTTTGTATTTTCATTAAAACTCGTGTCCGGCCTATATTATAGAGGTTTCGCTGTAGTTATGACAGAAAAGTAATCATGCGGGGAGGTTGTTCCTATATTCGACGTTAGGTCACGGGGGGGAATTGTTTGTTTCGGCAACTGTCTGTACCCACTTCCCGGACGCGGTTTGTTTCAAATTATTTCAAGGTTTTTTAAACGAGTATATCTTCTATAAGTTTTCGACCTCAATTTCCAGTACCATGGCCCTGGAATAGTGACTTAGCCCGTAAATGTGTAGAAAGTTTCAGTCACATTAAATTAATTAAAACATCACGTTGTGCATGTATGGGAGTTATCTAATTGAAACGGCTGTACCCTTGTACAAGGTGTTCCGGATTGTGGCTACTCGCTATACCACTCAAACATGATCTCAATACCAATAGTAATCATAGCCACTCGGTCAAGATGAGTCACTATTACACGGACAACAAAACTACAAAAAAAGGAGGAAGAAACTGAGAATAATAAATAGGGATGGTGTAGTGAACGGTGATTTTCAATATGGGTGAAGTTTGGAATAATTGACAATTGTGCAAAACTGATATCTTGCTAGGAATCATCCATGAGAGCGTTCTGATGGTGCTGCTCGCACAATTTTAGGTAGGTAGGGAGAATTCTCTATGAAAAGTTCAATTGTATATTGACATCATTGATGACAATTAAATAGCCAGACAAGCTACCTACAAGTTCTCCTTCGCATTGTGCTTGTTTATCCATAACAGTGGATATTCCAAATATCTGATTTGTAACTTCTAGCGAAATAACCAACACAGCAAAATCACCTTGTATACAATCACTATTTCAATTAAACTGAATAAATCTATGAAAATACGTTGACCAACTGTAATTGACAGTTTCCCACATCAAAATAATTGCATTTCCATGTTCACAGCTCAACATAAAGAAATATGAGATGGTTCAGAAATATGAACTTGGGAAGAATATCAGTCACAAAACAACTATCGCATTTTTAGGCATATTTACATTTTTCGTGTTGAGGGAAAAATAACTTTGTAACGTTAATCTCTGCGGAACATCATGGTATTTTTTGTTGAATGAAAACAATTGTCAGAAGGCGCTGGATATGGAGAAATAAATGCTTGTACATGCCAAAGGTTTTCTAAATAAAGAACTTGTGTGCGTAGGACCACATGACACGTCGGAAGTGATAACTTCTAAGGCCGGTCAGTATTTACAATATCTTCTGGGCATACGGGGGAAATCTGAATGAAGTAGTATTGATTTCATGTTATATTTCCACGTATTCGCAAAAAAGATGAACTAGAACTAAAAATATTGATGGAGAAATTTCAAGAATGAGAAATTTCAAAATGCAACTTGTCAAAAGTACCTATTCATTACTAACCCTGTGTATTATAAATGATGTGAATGATGTATAAAAAGTTTTTTGCCGGCTTACTCCCATCATCCCAGAAAGTGTCTAACGGACCTATAAAAATTATCATTTTAAAAATTTGACAATCCTGTTGCAGAAGCCCTTACTTATTGTTTCAGATCTCTCATCAATATATAAGGACTGATACATTTTGTCTTTATCATCGAAGTGTTCGACCTATTATAGGTGTGTTGACTTTCACTGCCGTTGACGAGTTTGAAAATTTGAAAGACAATTTCTATGCAAAGACAAGTTTCGGCTGAATGAGATTTTGAGGGAATCTGCTTCGATATCCTATAATATATTGTTCAGTATGTGTTGGTGTTTATCTTTCCTGCAACATCCATGCACTGTTGTTTACACATGATAATAGTGATGTTCAATCTTGTTTTCGGAATTCCATATATTCATGAATTTCATTTGAATATGAACATGACGAGATTCACAGGTTGTAATATGAAATATAATACTGAGCTACATACTTCTCTTTTCCTCAAGATATGGAAGATCTTGCCGTAATAAAATTATATTACTACAAATATCGCGTGGATATATTCTGCAGAAAACTCAACGCTGTTTTCAATCTGGCGTTGTCACTTGGGGGAAAAATCGATAGTTATTTCGAAGGACTGATATTAGGTCTATAGCATGGACGTATAAACAAAGATGGTCTATAGAATGCTAACCAGAGAACCAACGGAGATACAACTATCTAAAATCATTCTCGATCCAATTCGAATACCTGATATATTATGGCAGTACGCATAGTGAATTTTCTCCCATAAATTAGTGATCAGAATTCAGAATGAATACTAAACGTTAATTTTCTGCTTCGTAAAAATCTTAAATTCGAGAAAAAATGTATAGGTACGAGAGTATTCTGTTTCGTTTGAGGATTCACTAAGGAGATCGAGTAGCTATGGGAAAATAGCTTTATCCCCATTAAATGAGATGAGTAAACATTATTAAAATCGAGCGGAAGCTCTGACCCAGTAGGAAAAGATTCCAGAAACGTTTTGTTTATGTTTTCGTGAGGATTAACATTCAGAAATAACAAATTGAATGAACCAATTTAACTTTAGTAATTAAGTGAGGGCTAAAGTGAATGGATGAATGACGAATTTTCGTATCGATAACAAGTGGCTAGAAGGGCGTGAAGAGAAATTGTTAAAGTATAATTGAGTCTCGAAATTTCCAGGAATTTCGTCTGACGACGTTGTGACGTTTGATCGATAAATCATCGGAACTGAAAAACCAAGGATTAGAGATAATAAGTTGATAAGTTCTCATTTCTTACGACCATCTATAGGAATATAACATAAATAAAACCTATACAAATCTGTCAATTATCTACTCATCCGGTGCTCATAGTAATATCCCATGATAAACGAAACGATACGAAAAATCAGTAACTGATGTTATACATAGTTCAATCACGAAGACATATCAAAAACACACCCATTCATTGGAAACTCTGAAGGTCGATCAAGTAGATAAAATAATCTCCCGAATTCTAGAGTAGATAACATCAAGGAAGATCCCTATATAAAATAGAGATAAGAAGCGGCAACCTGAATGTGAAATGAGCGAAGTTTGTAATGGCTGAAAGAATATTATCAGTTCTAAAGTGAGCCGAAACTTTTTACTCACGAAAGGTATTACGCTCTTATAAACCTATCTAAGGTCCGTGATATCACAAGCGAAATCAGGTTGATCAAAACTTCATGAAACGTATTGAAACAACGAAAGAATAAACGAAAACAATGTTATGAAAACAAAATTCGATGGCACATAGTATGATATATAGTGGAATATTACATGTGTATGTGCTTGTGCGTCACACTCGATCGCCTTGGTGTTTTCACTGGAGAACTTCGAATCGAAAACCCCCTTCCAACGCTTTCAAGTAACAATAAAAAGTGGTTTGAAAAACTAAAAAAACACGGTTCTATTGATATCCAAACTGGAAAGTAGTTGAAAAAAAAAGTTAGTGTGATGATAAATACCCAACATTTAGAATAAATATACTGATTTCGAAAGTGCTGATATATTTTATATTGTGTATTCATCAACAAACTTTCATTATTTTATTTTCTGCTATTTTTCAGTATTGCTATTCATATAAAATCGTGTTTCTCCAATTTTTTAAACTACTATTTATTTGCTATCTTTTAGTTTGGCTAACCATAAAAGCGTGATTTTTAGTTTTTCTATATGTTTTGTAATCATACCAAATTTCGACGAAAGAATCTCTTCGATCCCTAGGTAGATACAAATTTTCAATAGAATCGGATCATGATTACTTACAAAACCCGTCCGCCATATTGGATCCGCTAAATTAAATCTTTCAATTTTGACGAAAGAATCATAATTTCCGACCCCGATAACTCCCAGATACCAAAATTTCGAATTGAATCGGATCATATTCACAAAACTCGTCCCCCATATTGGATCTGCCATCTTGAATTTCCACATTCTGACGAAAGAATCATAATCACCGACCCCGAAAATCCCCAGGTAACAATTTTGGATAGATCGTACTTACAAAACTCGTCCGACATTTTGGAGCTGCCATTTTGTTTTTTTGTCAAACGAAAATGTCATGATGCATTGTCACCAGAATTATGTACACCTGCCAAATTTCAAATCAATCGAACGTGTTGAAGTGGGTCAAAATCACGTTCGAAGATTCAAGGAGTCGGTTACATACATATACATACATACATGCAGGTGAAGCTAATAAAAGCGTATTGAAAAATTCTCCAAAATGGTAATCAAATCACCCTTTTGTCAAACAATCTACTAGAAACCACCCCTTACTTTGGTTCTTCATATTTATTGGTTTAATAGAACATTTGCAGGCGATTTCATTTCAAATCTTCCACAATTCTTTTATTTTTTTTTTGTATGTTCGATAGCCCAGATATCTGCTGGTCTAAGAGCTCTAGGACACCCGGATATTGAAATAAATACATACATACTTTATGATTGGAAATCAAATTCTCAAGAGACGAAACTTATGCGGGATTGAGAAGAGCGGGACCTACAGTTTCTAATCGATTTCGAAAGACTTTTAAAGGGCGCTGATGTTGAACAATGCATCAAATAAATTCACTCACCTCACATTTTCGGTACTTCAAGGGATTCTCAATACTGGTATCCCTGAAAATTAAAAAAAGAACAGAATTGAATTGATTTCTATCGGCATTGCCATCACATGGGTAAGTGAATTTCACATAATATGTTAATATAGGAAATCAAACGAAAAATATCAATGGACGACATTCAAAGCTCGGTTCAATCGACACGAACGTGGACACTCCCACATCAAGTCGATGAATCCTGAAAAAATGTTTTGTCGCAATTTGTTGGGTGTTTATATTTTTTCCAATGCGTTCTTCACGCCAATAAGGGTGGTTATTTGAATTTAGAAGGAATAAATTGTGGACCAAGCTATTCGATTTGGCTGCATGTATAGCATAGAATATTGTTTAACCAGCACGGAATGAAAGTGATTTTCCACGAGAATGAGCCGCAGGCAAATGCTGCAATCATTCAAGAGGGAAATTATGATTCCGTGCGAGTTATGCACTATAATTTTCCATGGCAATAACGAATAACAGAGACATTTTGATATCTTCGTATTGTAGCCATCCGATTTCCTATCAAGTAATGCTCATCTATGGGACAGAGCTGTCATTGCTTGAAATTTGATATTCTCTGGGCTATGAGATTTTTCTGAGATAATTAAACAATGGAGACATTGTGATATTAGATACGGAAATGAAATTGATGACATACAAAGTACCTCATTGATATATCGAACACAGTAAAACAACAGCAATTTTGTGTTATAGCCGTAGAAAAATAATATTTCTTTTCGAAAAATATAATAGCTTGAATTGCACCTAGTATTTTCAGCTACCAATATCAACAATATTAGATTGTTTTATTAGGATCAAAAGTGACACTTTGTTTGACAAGCGAATTTTGCATTTGCGAGGCGGAGCGGAGCGTCTAGCGAAGCCGAGCGAAATCAAAATTTGCGAATATAACTTCAGAAACAAATATCGTTTTTCGGATATGAAGTATTCTGTACCAATTAAAAATACGTGATATGTTTTCATCAAGAAAAAAAAATACCGATGGATGAAATGTCCAATCAAAAATAGATATAAACAAAAAATGCATGGATATTCATTAAGCAAACCGGGATTAATATACATATAATAACACATAGCTGTAACGTAATGGATTTACAATATTATGTACAGGCTGCTGCAGTAGTCATATCGCATATGAATGTGTCTGTAAATCACCATCGAGTCAACCATCCATTTTGCATCTGTATACAGGGTGTCAGTTTGGACTTCAATAGCTTAAAGAAGATTCTATTTTAAGATAAAAATCTCACGTGAACATGATATATGCGAGGGTATTATGATATTTATATTTTTGCGTTCTTCAAGTTTTGCCACTCAGATCATACCATCAGGTCTCCCAGTCAATTATTAAGAACTGTCGAATATGTTCGAAAAATGAAGTTTCATCACAAGTAAATTATTTGTGGCATATATCTCGAAATTCATACAGTTTTCGAAAAACATATAGAAGGTCAAAAAGTATTCAAATAAAAGAGGAAACCTAAATCAATGTTTCATTGAAAGCAGAGGCAGCACGCAGAAAAGTTCAAGAGGATTAAATTGGGTACAACCCCCGAAAGTGTTTCACCATCTCCCTTTAGGTAATCGAAATCGGCTAATAGCACTGATTATTGAGTTTTTCGAGTGAAATGGGTATACCAAATATATTATTTGTGAAATTGTATAGGAGGAAACCAGAGAAACATAAAATCTCAAACTTCGACTACCTGGTATCTGCGAAACGAAACTTCCACGTATATGAGCTGTTGAAGTCCGGCTACAAAAAACTGATTCTCCCCGTATATTACCTCGGTTAATGAATCCATTGGCTATATGGTATAACTTTGTATACTTATATTCCAATAAGAAAACAAGTGCTTATTTGAAAATGTATTCAGAAAACATAATATTCCAAAATCAGAGAGGAAGGTTGAAACGTGTCACATCAGGCACAAAGCAGTAAAGTGCCGTTGTTCTGAAGTAGGTAGGTATGTCGTTAGTATAATATTCTTGGAAAAAGCTCAACACTTCAGTTTTCCGTTATTAAACTATGCGGAAAATGGAAAATACGTTAGAACTTAAGAGCCTGACGACATAATAAGCGTTTTTATTGCGTCGAAAAATAAATCCCTCCTTTATGTGTATACCGATTCATATACACATTTTTCTGAAGGTTGATGGTAGATGGGATGTGAAAAATTGCGAGGACTTCATATATGGAATTCTTTGCCAATGAAAGTATTCGCAAGAACTTATAACCTCCAAAAGTTCTATAAAATTAAACATCTACATCCTCTCCCTATTCTCCTTTTTCGAATATCATAGAAATTTACTTTCGTGCGCTCCAAGAGTTAAAAATAACTGATCTGAAGAAATAATTTCTCCAAACATGTCCGAAGAAAATATCAATAAAAATATGGCAGACACGACCGTAACTATATATTCACCTTGTTGTACCTACCTTTCCTTATATTTTGACCTCTACCTATATGCAGCTCAACTATACGAGGTGGAAAAAAAACTTCAAATATGAAAGTTGTATAGGATTTCGTCTGTACTATTTTTGGGACTCCTTAAATAAACAGATTGGAATCGCAAAATGTAAAAAAGTCAGTCTAGTACTGATTCGACTTGATGGATCTCATCACAGTTCGAATAAGTTTTTTTGGTCGATCGGTATTGCCACAGTTGTATTGTCGACTATGATGATTCATTATTGGTTACCAAAATCTTCCAAATCCAACATTCTGTCAGCATTTACTAGAATAATCGTATTCTTCTTGATCTTATATTGGAAAAACATATAATTCGCAAATTTATGTTGAGCGCGTTTTTCACATTATTTACACGATTTATCTTATCCCATTCTGGAAATACGAGACAAACATTCAAATATATTATGGATAAATCCAAATATTGTAAGGTTGTGATATATCTTGGATTTCCTATTTTCCTTTCCAGCTCGCTGCTGATATTGTATACGGAAGTAGATGCCACTTTTCAGAGCATTATTCAGAGAAATTCAATACAAGTATTCTGATAATGGTTATATGAGTTGGATATGAGTTTTCACGTATCGAAATGCTATACCTTTGGTTTTAAACGTCTTATATCTGATTGATCGTTCAATCAACTCTGTCCATAGTATTATGAGGGTATACCTACAATTTTCAACAGGAAAAACTTCAAAGACATTTATCACTGTATTTCTTGAAACAGTAATGCTACCTGTGATTTTAAACGTCCGATATCTGATTGAACGTTCAATCAACTCTGTCCATAGTACTATGAAGCTATACCTACAATAATTTTCAACAGGGAAAACTTCAAAGACATTTATCACTGTATTTCTTGAAACCTTAATGCTACCTTTGATTTTAAACGCTTATATCAGCTGATTGAACGTTCAATCAACTATGTCCATAGTACTATGAAGCTATGGAAATTGTTCACTGATGCAAAAATATGATCGATTTGCATCGTGTGCGATCAAGGAAATGATTTCAGAATTGCCTTTGATCTATCATTCAATAATTGTTTTTATTTAGCAACAGTGACAATTCCTCAACAAAAGCGTACATGTACGCCACTGAGTTCACTTACAAGTGAATCTAAATTTGAGCAATATTTCGTCGTTATTTATCATTCCAACATAGAAAAAAAATAATGTTCAGAGAATGTTTTTGGTTCATTGTGTGTCATAAATTGGGAGGATTATTCGTTAATTTCCATGAATTATTCAGTAGGATTTCCCTGTCGAAAATTTGCGTGGAAATTATAAATTGTGGATAAGGGTCCGGGCTTTGTGGAATATGACGTTCCCAGTATTACCTACCTACTTCGTCATTATATTTAATGTACCTTACAAATTTCTCAGCGTATGCCAAAAATAAGAAGTTTGAGGAAGCAAAAGCTATTGGTCTGAGAGTATTGTTATTCTCAGACATTGGTGTTTCATCCATCAGTCATTCTGACGGGATAATGATGTTACTGGAAAAATGCCCACCTCATGTCAATTTCAATTCTGCAATACGAGCCAATTTGTGCAATAGACTGTATGATCGTAGGTCGTCAGAACATCGAAGATAGTTTCCCTACATCATAACTATCATAAGTATCAAATAATATGGATCGATACCGAATTTGCGGGCATAGGAATCCAAATTTGCTGGGTCAATCTGAAGACTAATAGGTCTTGGGGCATCAAACTTCAAATTCCTCCAATTTCCCCTTTTTTATGGTTGCTTATTGAATTCCAAAAATCGATATCGGCACCAGCTTCGTAACTACACTTGATAGAATTAGTTTAGCTGGTGAGAAGATGGACATGGGCTATACAGCGTGTCTCACATGAGGAACAATAATATGAAGTTATTTTTCCTGCAAAAAATATGATTACATGAGAAATCGATCTCTTATTATTTCATTGAAAGCGCACGGCACTGTCCAAAGGAATGTTCGTCTCTGAAAAATTGATCAATTTGATGGTTACTCATACCGGTCCAAATTTGTTAAGAATTGCACGACTATTAGCTGAGATATAGGGGGGACGTTTAAAGTTACGCTGTATATGTGTGGGAAATGCAATCTCACATATACGACACAATGAGGAATATTACATGGTATGTATTATATTTATGTACTATTTTAAAAAAACCTCTCCTGGAAGTGAAACCTTCATTTTGATGTTTGCTTGACTTATGTGGAATGAAAAAAGCTATGAACAGAAAAATAAGTTTTAATTTAATTTTAAGTTTTATTCTGATGAACTTCAGCTCCTCATTCCATGTATTATGACCTATTGGTTATATGAATTTTTTGATGTCAAGTTTATGTAGCTAATTGGGATCCCAGGGATGTTCACTTCAACCTGATAATTAGTTGTTCATTAATTGGTTGTATCCCCTCTATAAGTTGTGAAATTGCATTTCGCCGTGGTTGTTCAATTACAACAAATAGATTAATTTTATAACTCTCGTTTCAGTATAACTGATTCATCCGCTAACAGGGAAACTACTC